AGTTTTCTCTTCCCTCCCATTCACTCCAGCCTTCTGCCTTGAAAGCTCAAAAGCTAGCAAGCAGAAAAAGATTTCCAGCACTACCTGCATCCCCCTTTGCATGTTGGCACTCTCAAATATGTGCCCTGTAAACATTATGATATATATTTGTCCATGCTATTTATTGTGAACTTAAAGATAGCTTTCAGCCTAAAGTATAAAACATATCACATATATGTTAATATAATTTGGCCTATTTGCTATATGGAATCAGGGCATTCCAAGCCAGACAGCGATCTCAGTGATACTGGCATAGACCTCAAATTAACTCACTGAAATCAAAATAATTTTACTGCTACAAACAAAATCTAGTCCATGAAATATAAGGACCAAATTCTTCATCTACTTGTTCCCACCAACCCACTAACACTGGCTCCTCTTTGCAAACTGTTTTCCACATGAGCAGCCTCAGAATCACCTTGCAAACCCCCCAGGCACAAGGAATTAAATGTGCTACAACGTAGCTTCGTGCTATCCAGGAAAGCATTGTGAACACCATTCCATCTCATTAACACCATTACACTTTCTTCACCACACGTTAGACTCACAAGAATGACTTAAAAGCACAAACATTTCACCTGATTGAGTATTGCAAAGATGAGAAACTCAGGTGGGGCAAAACAACATAGTAAACTACCACAAGCCAGAGCTTCCAGGCAGGAAAGTAGACCTTACATGAGATTCAAATTTCCATAATCTGTAGTACCAGCCATGTCCGGGAGACTAAGAGGCAACAATTAAAGAGAAACTGCCCGTGCCTTCACCTTGGTAGGTGAGTGGAGTATCTTGCTGTATCAGCAGCAGAACAGGTGCAAACAGATTAACAGGCTTCTGCAACAGTTTGTTTCTCTGCTCAAATTCAAATATCATCTGCTGTGGTAAGGTGCCCAAATATCTCATGTTGATGAAACCTGCTATAAAATTCATCAAGAGTATGGGGTGCTAGAATGGAATATAGAAGTTTTGCAGCATTATATGAAACGGAATCAAAATAATGGTTACGAAGCTCAAGATGACTTTTGCATAGAAAATCCAATATTACATTAGCCATCAACTTCCAAACTCACTACTGTAACAACTTCAATACACAAGCTGATGTAAGAAGAGAATGTTAAAAGAATAAAATAGATGGTTGAAGCCTATTCCGATGTTTTCCTGGAGTCTTTACATACACTGTTTCCCAAAGGAAATATGGGCACATATAGGATATTACAAGGAAGCAGCTGCATTTAAAATCCATCAAATCCTTGTTACATTGACAGCTTAAATTACTTTATTTCCTAACTTACATTTAGTGGAAATATAGGCTTAGAGATCATCAGTAAATGGACTGGGGGGTGACAGAACCAAACCAGATACTCTTATTTTTTACCACATTTCTTTTGTTACTGCTGTCAACTTACATCACTGCCCCCTCAGAGATCGTGCTCTGAATGTGCCATTACTTAAGGAACAGTTTCCAAGACCACTACTTTCATGCAGCAAAATGTTCAGTATCACTCACTCAGCTGCTTACAACACAGAAAGTGATAATTAGAACCATGGTGATCAAAAAGTATCATGTAAAAAATACAGTCATCAGTGAAAGATGAGATCAAAACAGAGCTGCACTATGGGAACATTCTTCTGACATGTCTATGAAAATGGCATAGCTGCTGACCAGTGTCAGGAAGAGAATTAAGAAACTACTTAAATTTCTCCAAGGCTGATACTGAAGCTGTCATCACTGCCACCTGTAGAAAGCTTCCCTTCTGTCCTGTTGAAGTTTGTAGTATGGCTGGGCCATAGCTTATGTGCTGACAGCAGACAGGTGCACACAGATACCAGTGACTGATTGCAGTTCTCATCCTAAATGCTTCTTCTGCCAAGCTGTTGAAGCAATCGTAATTAAATCACTCACCAGAGACCTAGCTGCAATTTGGGGATCACAAAAGGATAAAGTTGGCTAGCTTTCACATTTGGAAAAAAAAAAAAAAAAAAAAAAAGAAACAGTTTTCTGTCAGGGCACCTTGAAGAGGTGTTGAAAAGTGCAGAAGCAGTGATTTCTAAAAAGCATCTGTCACTCTAACTCCTTTCTCACCCAGCACAGGAACACCCAAATTCCTCCCTGATTTTAACAGTACCCATTCTAAATGACTCCCAAAGGGCACCTGGGGTAAGCAAGCTCTTGAGCTGCAATCTGATTTCATTCTCACAGCTATTACTCAAGGGAGGGGAAATGCCTTTCAGTAAAAATACAAGCAACAGGCATTCTTAAGCTAGCCAAATGTTAAAGCAATTATGTAGCAGGTTATTACTAAGCAACAGAAATGTCCAGGGTGCTCTAGTAAAAAATACAGATACATCACTGCTCTAAAGATGCTACAAATCTTGGAGTTGCAGTGCAAATGAAAATAAACAGCAGTATGAATTGTAAAAGCAGGGTTCACAACCCAAACCACAATAGTACAATTTGCATCATGCAATGAAGTCTGCAGTTGCATTTCCCTCCTCTTTGAAGGAGGGGAGGGTAAGTTCATTCAGAGACAGAAGACCCCAAAGGCTTAAGATAGGAACTCAAATGAGCCATCAGCCAGAAAATGCAAGTTATAGTAGAGGGCACCTAAAAGATCACAGTAAGTCAGGGCAAATCACGAGGAGGCAAGCAAAAATTAGACAGGGTGCCTGACCTGCTGCGAAGAAGTATGATTCACTCAAGATAAATCAGAGGTGACTCTTGCTTAATGTAGGGTGCCTGTCTCTGTAGTATCAAAGGCAAATCCCTCAGTGTGCTGATATTTAAACAGCTGACTGGTTTAGCTGTGCATGACTAATGAAGTCTATACAGATTTATTTTCTACACGCTAGCAACCTCTTGCTCTCTGACTCAATAAGCTAGGCACATTAGAAATCATTGAATAGTAATCAAATACAAACAATGAAAAGGGTTTCTGTAAGTAAATTAAGCTGAGTATGCTGGCAGCATACAACGCTATGAAGCATTGTCAAAGTCTGGACAAAAATTGGACCAGATGGCAGCAAAACCAAAATATTGATGAGAGGGAAGACTATCTCCCAAATGGGGATCTGAATTCCTCAGCAGAAATAGCTATAATTGCTCAGTGAAACAAACTACATAAGAGTAGAGTACAAATGGTTTGCATGGATGTCAGAATAAAGTTATCACTATAAAGAAACAATTAATAAATTTAGCTATTCTCCCTATTATAAGCAGTCTCCTCTAATGACTATTCTGCCATACTATTTAAGCAGAAATGAGGAAAACTGGTTCTGCCACTACCTTTTGGCAAGGTAGTCTACAATCTACATTCTCCAGAAACATCAATCTACTCACGTATTCATTCACTTATGTGGAGTAGGGGAAGGACACGAGAAGGATGGATGTTACCCTGGCATCCCTGCTCCATATCCAAAACACATGCATGGCAATAAGGCCAGCTTCATTCTTCCTCATTTGATCCAAAACGTTTTGTGCTTTACTCTGATGTATTCTCCGATGTATTACTTCTAGATTTTATCTATTTTTTGTTTGTTTATTATTATTTTTTATATATTCTTCCTTTCAAAGTCCAGTAAAAAAAAAAAAAAGATCTTTAAGATCTTTGATACTCACTCAGGGACATGATTTAGCAGTGGGTTGTTAGAGTTAGGTTGTAGTTGGACTTCATGATCTTTAAGGTCTTTTCCAACTGAGCAATTCAATGATTCTATTATTCTAAGCCTCACTGACTGCAATTACAGAACTGAAATTCACACAACTTCTTCTTATGATAGTGCTAAACATAGGAAGAACAAAGTCACCATGACCTTCTTTTCCTCCTCCAAACGTGACTCACCAAAATACAAAAGGAGTATATAGGCTACACATCACACAGAAAGGAATCTTAGGGAGAAAAATATAACTAATTACGCAAAAAGAACAGACTTCTTGCATTTCTTAACCAAACAATCCAATCAGAAGGATAGAAAATGGCTCTGTTTATCAACAGCTATGCAGAGTGGAAGCAAATGAAGATATACATGCAAAAAGACAAACATCAGCTGCCTTTGCTTTTTACCAAATAAACTGAAGCCTTGTTTTTAAATCAAGTAGATATTACAATCCAGAGTTAACAAATAAACAAATAGTGCACCCACTCACCCCAAAGACCAAATCAATTGTCAGCAGATGAACTTAACTGTTTCAACAAAAAGAAGCTGTTTGAAAAAGTGCTTTATACTCTCCTTGCACTCGTCATTGCTGCAGGCTATTGATCTTTTACAGACAAACAGCCTCCATTAATACATACTTGTGTTAGTCTGGCAATTTCTCCTGGTAAGCTTGACTCCCCAGTGTTACCCATCTGCAGGAGGAATCAAGTAACAAGTATTTTTTTAATTACCTAGTTTGACATGCATTATAATCACTTCCAGAAGCTAGATTGCTGAGGTGTTTTTTTTTTTTTCCTCCTTTTTAAATGTGTTATCTGTGTGCAAAAAGGAAATACCATGTCTGATTAAACACATAAGAACAAGATTAGGAATCTCTAAAGCTGGACATCTGAGGTTATCTGGAGTCTGTAATGAATACTATTTCATCTGAGATCACGGTAAAGAATTTGCTTCAATTAACTAACTAGATAGGATGCAACTCCCTCACATGAAAGCATTTCATTAATATAATGGGCTAACTTCCAATTCTGGTACCTCATCTGCTCAAAGTTACACAATGGCACAGACTGCAACACTTTGGAACACTTTGGTTTGCTTGTTTTAGATTACACAGAAGTAATCTACACTTGACATCACTTATGATGAATCCAATCTAAAGAACATGTAACTCAATTAACATATAAATGCCTGCATGTATCATAAAAAACGTATCTAACAGATGAGAACAGAAAGTAAAACTTTTCTCTCCTCACAATCCATAATACTTCATAACAAGCAGGCAACCAAAAACACAACTCTTTCTTTAATGTCCTGATACAAAGCAAAGACTCACTAAAAAAAAGAATACACAAGAAGGTTATACGCACGTTTTGATGATCCTGGTTGAAGTCCCATTGTGTTTCAGGAATCCATGTGACTTACCTTTCCAGTCCATTTTAAAACCCACAACCTCCTGTCAGCATTTCTAAATCACCAGACAGGCCAGATACTAGGAAGCTGACTACTACCTTGCTCAAATCACCTCCTCTTCAATTGAACTACCACCTCTGATCTGCATGGTTTCTAAACATCAGCTCTAAAAAGCAACAAGGAATCTTCAATTACAGCCATGGGAACCTGGTTTTTTGACATCCGAGAACCTGCTTTAAGTCATTAACAACAGCCTAACAAAGGCACTAGAGCATTCTGGAGATGTGAAGTCCAACACATTTGAAACAAAACTGCAGTATCTCTCTTCAGAGATTTCCACATCACATACTTAAATACAGTCCAATACATTCCAAAGAAGCACTTATTTTACACCATTGTTTTAAGGTGTTATGCTTAGCAGTACTAAACTGAACTCTCTGAACAAGAGGGGTGCAGGAATGGAGAGCTGAATGTCCAACAGGGTTTCCAGATCCCCTCACATACCTCTTATTCTGCTCTCCCCCCCCCAAAAAAAAAATTAAAACAAAAATGCAGAAAATCAGTGTCACATCCTGTTGCTCTGATATTAAATGTTTCTTTTAGACCGAACTGAGTCATTCTAGATTCCAAATTAATCTAAAAACAGATCTGACACTGGAGCCTCTAGATCTGTGTCTGTAGTACCCTTCTTATACAGCCAGTGCTGAAGCACAGAGCAGCCTTTTCAATACTTGTTTGAGGCAACTATACTGGGAGAAAGGGGAGAGCAATTCAAGTAACATTTCAATTGATGAAAGAGTCACAGAAATGCAGGCTTTCTGGCCTTCAGCAGGAACAGACTGTGAATACTTGTTAAACAGTTTGCCATTTTTGTCATCAATTCAGCCATATCTAAGACTCCAAGGAGAAGGATACAAGTATGACACTGCGCTAATATCACACACCTTACTGTTATTCCTAATAAATTCTCTCATAAATATACATAATCAAAAGCAGCAGCTTATGAAATGCAGGTGGTCATACTTTTCCAGCCTTAAAGTTTCTGCACACAATAAGCCAAATTATTGATGATTACAATTATGCTTATTACAGCACTGATGGTGTGTGCTTCTTTGCTTCCATGCCTTGGAGCAGGGAAGGAAATGGGAACTAGCTACCTGCTTAACAGAAGCTGAGAGAAAACAGAGCTAATGTGATCTGCTTCCTGCTTCCAGGAGCAAATGTCTTATCAGAATGAACAGACAAACATTTGAGGGCCAAAAGAGGGCTTCAGGTTTTTGTTTAACTGTTTTAGCAAGTTTACCTTAGTAGTCATTGGCCAATAACATAAGATCCAATGTTTTGGGAAGAATACAAGGAAGTAAAACACTGTTACTAGCAACCAATTCCTAAACATTCATCATTGCATACAGAAAATCTAGAACAGTGCTAAGCAGTTTTATATCAATGTCGTTTCTCTGCCAGAAAAGCTTGAATGAAAACATCAAAGCATAATTCAGCATACAAGATATAGATATTTTGTACCTATGTTAATAGTATACATAATACACACAAGTCAATTTGTTTCTCTAAACTCAGTATTCCATTAACATCAATTACTATCATTGATCTGGTTGTCAAAGGCAAGAACCACCTCCAAAATACACGTATATCAAATATATGCTTCCACATGTTCATTTTAGCAATGGAAAAATAACTTGCTGCATGCTTCAAGAAACCTTTTGAGGAAATAAAATTTGGATTTACCACTGGAAAGACTTTATTTCCACTGTAAGTAAAACTAATTGTGTATTCTCTGTGCTCTAATCTATCAGAACTCACTGCTCTCTGTAATCCAATGGAAAAAAATGACTTACGGTCATTACACTGGCTCCCAGAATATGAAGTCATGGAGCAATCACAAGTGAAGCCTTCCCACTGCTGATTACAGATACCCTGATTTGCACAGGAATCTTCTTGGCAGGTAGTGCTTGGTCCTGTAGAAGGGATGACAAGAACAGAGTGAAACAAAGTTGAGAGAATAGTGAGGCCCACAACAATTTCAAGTCATCACTACCACTACCATTCTCATGCAGTACATAAAAAGTACTAATGAAACAGTTTTCCATTCTTAGACACATAACAAACTTGAGTAAAAGAGCACACAGACAATCGTACACTGCACAACAAAGCAGCAAACTGTAACACACAAGGAAGAAGAAAAGTGAACAGCAACATCCCCTGTTAGGCAGGCCTAACTTCACGTTCTGTGCTCACCCGAAGCAGTATATAATGAAATATGATAACGTGCCAGGGTAACTGAAACACTGCCAGGTGCATGTGCTTCCCCTGAATTATTATATTTCTTTGTTGCAGGAACACAGGCTAGGAAATAGGTCCATGAACAATGCCTTATCCTATCCAAAGAATTATTCTGTAGGTTCCTCTGGAAATGTAATGTTATAAAACAAAACAAAACCAACCAACCAAACAACTCCATAAGACTTCTCTTTCTAAACTGGACAGCTTTCCATAGCCTTCGGGAGATGCAGCCATCACTAACAGAATAGTCTTCCACTGTCTCTGGTTTGGAGCTATCTTTACTCAGATAAAATTGCAAAGGCACAGCCAAGATAACAGCAAAAAGAGCGATCTTCACATCAGAGGGACTCTGAATGACAATCTGTCATCCACAAGTAGATAGCCAGCTTTTGAAGCTGCATTATTCCACTATATGTTATACTGTTAAAAAAAAAAAAAAAAGCACAACGAATTTCTAAGTAGAAAAGTGCAGATAACAAGAGCAGGCAACAAAACCCCTGAGAAAAAAGATTCACCTATTGAGAAGACACAGCAGCAGACACAGTAACAGCTTGTTACCATACCTGAAGAAAGTTGTGCAGAGTTATTCAATACTTTTCCCCTCCACACACCTATTCTTCCTACTCAAGTCATCTGCAGCTGTATGAATCCCAGTAGTCTCATCAGCACAGCATGAGGGGAACAGACCACCTCTAGGTTTACATAGTGCTGACAGACTGTAGGGCACATGCTGGCAGATACATGTATGTACTCATTTCTCCCTTTCCTTTATACTTATAAAAGTCACAGATATAACCAGACAGATACACATCAGGTTGGGGTCTGACACTTACTCTAAACTTATTCTGATCCAAGAAAAGAAAGGATGAAATTTAAGAATCTGAAATACAATATTAGTTTTCATTTTGTTTGAGATTTGAGTTTTCTGAGGATAAGAACTCATTGAAGAAGAGCAGAACAGCATTTTCAATGACAATTTTTCTTCTCTCTTCCTGCACTTATCTGAGAACACTTTAATCAGTAACTGCAGTTGATAATGGGCATCATCAGACTGGTGATATCCCCTGTCCAGGTGCCACAAGAGAGATACTAGAAATCAAGGAGTAAGCTTGCATGAAGCCTTAATAACTGTGGCTGGAGGTGCTGTCAGACTAGAAAGCCAAAGCATTTGAATTATGGCCACAAAAATAGTTTCTGTATCGCATTTTACAGAAAGCAACTGTGAAGATGAAGCTGTTTTTAAAAGAGCAAGAGAAAAAATACCATCCATAAGCACCATTTGATGAGGAATTTTGGAAGGCTAACAATAAAAGAAAGCTTGAAGTCAAATCTGCTGTTGTGACGGCACAGCATAGATCCTGGGTATTATGCTTCGCCTCACTTCTCAGTACTACAGGCTATTTGCATGGTAAAAGCATCTTTGTCTCAGAGAGTTCAGCTATTCCTGCTGCTTACAGTCCTTGCTTGGTGTAATAATCCCCCATCTGTAGCAACAGAATTTTGTTCAGAGCAACTAACAGGGATGTCACAGGGAATTAGGATTTTGGAGCAAAAATTTTGGATTAAGGAGCAAAAGTGACAGAAGCACAGGAAGGCTTACAAAATGAAAACTGTTACCACGCACATGCCCTTTAGTGCTAATTAACAAGGAAAGGAAGACAAACTGTAGCAATAGAATTGATTCTAAAACACCAATGCCAGAGTTCAAGCCCATTTTTATTATCTTTCCTTTGGTAACACTTTCAACATTCTAGAATTATTCATAAAGCGAAGTTTCAGATTGAGCTTTTGCATAATGCTGGATACATCCAATAAGTCACACTACACAGTTAATTAACTAATGCATACTGACTTATATTTTCTCCTTGAATTTGAAACATTCTGACAAAACCTGCTAATTCCCCTGACTGCATTTTATTCAGAAGTATTGTTTTTATTATCTGTTTGGAGCTGGGCTTGACACAGTCTCTTAATCCACTTTCTAATGGGCACATGGAATGAGCAGGTAGTACACAGAGAATAAGAACAGAAAACTCTCCAGTACAGAACGGCAATCCTGCTAGCAGAAGTGTGACTTGTTCTGTCTCCTCCTCTCCAGTATAAACCTACCAGCAGAGGCAGGGAATTGGCAACATGTAATGGCAAAGCAGAATTCCACACACGTGACATTTAATCATTATTTCTCCATCTTCAATTCCTTCTAAAACGGTTCAGGACCTCATAATTTGCAAATTTTCTTGGGAAAGTGTTCGAAATCCTACTTTTCTTCCAAGTTACATAGCTAGATTTATAGTTTAAAAGTTTTTGCTACTGAGCATTTTAAGAAAATCACTTTAGAAGAGTACAGAAGCCAAATTCCTCTTCCATATTTTGTTGGGAAAAATTACTTTGCCTCTCTAGCTCTTCCTGGCACTTTTAGCTGTATAGTTGGTTTCTCTTGCTGAAACTAAAAAATATTGAGTTCTACTGCTGTGCACAACTACAACTGTCATGTTTCACCCAACCGGTGGGCACTCCTGCCTTGCAAGAGGAGTCATTCCTGCTATGTCACTTATAAGCTCTTTGCAGTGAAAGGAACTTGAGGAATAAAAAGATACATTATTGCATTTATCATTCTTTCAAGTTACATAAGGAATTCAATTTCTTTATAAAACACCTGCAGGATTATAACACAAATGTCTCATACTTTGATCATAACTAGCAATAGGCTTTAAGCCAAAGCAAATCATTCTAGGTTTGCTCTGCACTAAAAATTCATTCCCACTAGAAAGAACCATTTGTGTTCATGTTATTTCTTCAGTAAGAAGATCTGCAATATGCAAGGTTCAATGGTACGAGTCCACTTTCACTTTCTGAGTCTCTAAATTGTCTACAGCTCTCACCTCTCTTTCATTTATCAGCAAAGAGATTAGAGGTTAGGAAGAGATATGAAAGAGACACACACACAACATCTGTCTTTGCAGAAGAAGGTGTTTCTTTGTCTTACAATTCATAACGTGCAAATGCCATAAAGACCTGAAATCACTATCACTAACAGCTAGACATTATGATGGGAAATTCATACTCATGTTAAATCTATAATCTTCTCTTAACAGCACCCTTCTCTCTCCTCTTTTGTAACCAGTGATATTATGAATTTAATATATGGACTCAATACAACTTTTAAAGAGGAATCATGCCTTGGAAATCAGAAGCATTAAGCAGTATATAATTCTATTCTACAACTTGTTCTTAGAGCAGTTCAAGGAGGAAACTAAGTGAAACCCAATACGTTTTCCAATTTCACAGTATATACAAAGAAATTTTTGTTACTGGTATTCCATACCATAACATCATGTAAATACTGGGAGTTAAAGAGTTAATGCCCCATGGCCATGAACCACTGATTTTCCACCTGGCTCTCAGAAGAGAAGAATTACATACCCCAGAGGCATTTGCATTCAGAGGGGAAAGATAAAGCTAGCAAGCCACCAGACTCACTCTCTTGCTGCCTGGCAGTGTGTGGTGTGCTCCCCAGCCATTTCGTCTTCAATTCAGAGTTAGGCCTTCAGTTTTGGACACTCTCTCTCATTTTATTTATTAGCCTCAATTCCAATTATATTATATTATATAGTGTTATCTTACATTCCGATATCATATTTAGCAAATTAAGTTTCCTCCTCAGATTGTTGCCACTGTTTTGTTTTTAGGCCCAGCTCCCATCTCCCTACCCTTCCCTTCCCCCTTTCGGGCCGGTGGGCCTGCTGCTCCCCTGTCACAGGCACAGACACATCTAGATAATTCCATGACACTGGTAAAGGATGGAAAAAAAGAACACCAAAACACACAACAAAAAGTCAACTGCATAAAAGGGAGTATGCCTTGATCAGATATGACAGGGGACATGGAAGTAAACAACATTCAAGCACAGAAAATAAAAGCCAAAAGGAAAGACTGAAAGTGCTATATGTGAACAAGAAAAGTACAGTCAACTGGAAACACAGTTTTCACCACTGCAAGTTAAAGCAGTGCAGAAGTTGTGCTATCAGGGCTCATGGTCTGGTGGGTTTCGTGTTCTGAATTAGTCAAGATTTAGCAAAGGTTGGTTTCCTGAAAAGGCAGTAATCCACATTATGTACTCAAAAGAAATATTTCCCCTTAGGTGTAAATATGATCAGTCTCGTAATCTGAAATGAAGATATTCTTATATAATTAAGGACTGTATACCAAAATGAAATCAAGCAAGAATGAATCTCAACAGCTGTAACAAGTTTTTAGGTTCTGAGGACTCCTAGAAAACAAAACCAAGAAGCAAATCTGTTTGGCTCCCAGATCTCTTCTTCATGTTGCATCCACATCACTGGAAGTCAAAAATTGAACAAACTCCCATGCATGTGTTCTGAAGTCCGACACACATGGAAAAGGTTACAATAACTGCTGTCAGAGACACCCAGTAGTCACAGAATTGCCAGGGTTGGAAGGGACCTCAAGGATCATGAAACTCCAACCCCCCTGCCACAGGCAGGGCCACCAACCTCTCCTTTTAATACAAGACCAGGCTGCCCAGAGCCCCATCCAACTCGCCTCGAACACCTCCAGGGACGGGACATCCACAACCTTTCTGGGCAGCCCATTTCAGCACCTTACTGCTTTCATGGTAAAGAACTAGTCGCTGATGTTTAACCTAATTCTCACA